TGAAATAAAACGAGAAGGCAAGATTAGAGAAAAAAGGCTAAAAAGGAATGAACAAAGTCTCCAAGAAATATCGGACTATGTGAAAAGACCTAACCTACGCTTGATAGGTGTACCTGAATGTGACGAAGAGAATGAATCCAAGCTGGAAAATATTCTTCAGGATATTATCCAGGAAAACTTTCCCAACCTAGCAACGCAGGCCAATATTCAAGTCCAGGAAATACAGAGAACACCACAAAGATATTCCTCAAGAACAACTCCTCAAGGCACATAATCATCAGATTCACCAGGGTTGAAATGAAGGAGAAAATGCTAAGGCAGCCAGAGAGAAAGGTCAGGTTACCCACAAAGGGAAGCCCATCAGACTCACAGCAGATCTCTCAGCAGAAACCCTACAAGCCAGAAGAGAGTGGGGGCCAATATTCAACATCCTTAAAGAAAAGAACTTTCAACCCAGAATTTCATATCCAGCCAAACTAAGCTTCATAAGTGAAGGAAAAATAAAATCCTTTGTGAACAAGCAAGTACTCAGAGATTTCATCACCACAAGGCCTCCTTTACAAGAACTCCTGATGAAGCACTACACATAGAAAGGAACAATCAGTAGCAGCCACTCTAAAAATATACCAAAAGGTAAAATGCATCAACATAATGAAGGATCTGCATCAACTAATAGGCAAAACAGCTAGCTAGTTTTAAATGGCAGTATCAAATTCACACACATCAATATTAACCCTAGATGTAAATGGACTAAATGCCCCAATCAAAAGACACAGACTGGCAAATTGGATAAAAAGTGGCCCCATTCTTAAAACGCTTCCAGCTTAGCTGGGGAGATAGCAAATATGGTCTGGTAATTTTTAAATCAAAACTAGAGAAATTTGTAACTATAAAATGGAATGAGAACATTGGACTTTGAATGCTTTAGGACTAAATGTTATAGTCTTATAAAATTGCTCAATTCCTACTGATGATTAGACATGAATTCTGATCTGAAAGAACTCATGTCTTTAGCTAAGGCATCCTATTGTCTAGTAGTTCTTCAATAAAGAAAATGTTTGATAATCTGTGCCATCCAATAAGATAGCCACTAACTACATGTGGCCTTTGAGCCTCTGAAACGTGATTAGTGCAAAAAAAAAAAAAAAAGAAAATGAAATTTTTATTTTAGATTAGCTTGGTACAGAGGTGCATGCCTGTAATCTCAGATACTTGGTAGGGTAGCCTGAAGTGGAAGGGTGGCTTGAGGTGAGGAGTTTGAGGCTGCACTGAGCTATGATTACATCACTGCGTTCCAGCCTGGGCAGTAATAGAGCAAGACTCCCGTCCTCTCTCCCTCTTTCTCCTTTTCTTTCTTTCTTTCTTCTTTCTTTATTCTCTTTTCTTTTCTTTCTTTCTTTCTTAAAAAATATATATATTTCTACAAATTTATGGGGTACATGTGAAATTTTATTACATGTATATAATGTATAGTGAGCCATTCAAGGATATTTAGGGTGTCCATCACCCGAGGACAATACATTTTTGTTAACTATAGTCATCCTATTCTGCTATAAAAAAATAATGATTCCAATTTGTTTATGTTCTCAAAACATTTCGGATGAAGAGAAGATGGATAACGAAAGGTTCTTGAATAGTTAAAGGATAAAAAACCACTAATTTAAAAGGTTCTGAAAACATGGTACTTTTTCCAAATAGGTGTTGTACTCTTTTTGTTTGACATTTACAATGATTTTTATACTTCTGTTAGTCCCATTGAGCAAATCACGCCAACTTCACATAAATGGGAAAACTTAGTCAAGAAAAGCAGCCATTTTCATTTAGAAACAGAAAAATAGAAAATAAAATAAAAAGAAACTGAAAAATAGGCCTGAGGCTCCAGTCTCTAACTTTGGTGGGTTCTCTGTGCACAGTTCTGTGAAGTCTCTCTTAGAGCTTCTAGAAAAGAAATGTTTCTGTGACTTCATCTTTCTTTTGCGAAACATGTTTTCTTCCTGTGAGAATTAGCCAGGATCCAACTGAAGTGACACAAATGATGGTGTGTATTGTGCCAATAAGAGATCTGCCAACTCCCAGGCAAGCTGTTTCTTCCCGCTGAAATTCTCTTTGATGCATTTCCTCCATTCCGGTCACACTGCCATGCTGAGAAACAGCTGGTGCCACACTTCTAGATCAATGGCTTTGCTTGTGTGGTGCTTTGAGAGCAGAAATGGGGGAAGGGAGGGAAAGAGCAGTACAGAATGGAGATCTCAGGTTCTGTGCCTTTGCCTGATTTCCAAGGCACACTTTTAAGGCCTTGAGGGCCATTTAGGAATATGTAACTGTTTACACAAATAGAAAACTTCTAACTCACAATCCTCACCAATGTCAGTATTTGTGCTAATCTCTCCATCTTCAAAGACTCTTGTTGTCAGCTCCTCTCAACTTATTGGCCATTTACCACTGCCTCCATTCTATTTCTGCTATCTGCACCTTACTCAGTCGTCCCTTGGTATCTGCAGGAGACTGATTCCAGATCCCTGCCAATCCCAAAATCCCTGGATGTTCAAGTCTCTTATATAAAATGGGGTAGTAATTGCATATAACCTACACATATTCTCCCATATACTTAATTCATCTATACGTTACTTATGCCAAATACAATGCAAGTGCCATGTAAACAGATGTTATATTATATTTTTAAAATTATTCTTATTGCTGTGCTAATTTTTTTTTTAGAATATTTTTGATCCACAGTTGGTTGAATCCGTGAATGCAGAACCCTCAGATATAAAGTGCCGCTTGTACTAGAATGCTGTCTCAGCCTGAGGTACCTTCTTCACATCATTCATGAAGTGCTTGAAACCACTCCCCTCCAAGAAGCACTTTAGAACACTCAGAAAAAGATCCTAATCTCATTATTCTTGGTCCAAATACAAAACTCCAGACTCCTCAATTACTGCATCACTAAAATTCCCACCATTTAAGTACATTAAGCATGCATTTATTATTAGCCTGGTGTGTTTTCATCAGTGGTAATGTAACACCATAAGCATGATTTTTTCCAATTTTACTGCTTCTATAACACAGTTTCATGTGAAAAATTGATAAATTTTCATTATCGATTTCGAATTGAAAAATTTGATAAATTTATCTTGATTTCATAGGTGAAATAGCACCTTTACACAGCCCTCAGTTAAAGCCACCAGTTTATCAGTAATTTAGTAGAATAGCCTAGAGGTGACAAAGGAAGAGTTGGGCAGCAGCATTCAACAAACCTCCATGAATGAAGCTTTGCTCCTCTATTCTGATACCTGGGCTGCACCCTTCAGGCTGTTGGCTGTACCTGTAGATCAGTTACGTAATTCTGCAGAAAGATTCTCAATGCCCATTTCCCGGTGCCTTTAATTGATCCACTTCCAACTCGACCTGTCACTGTATAAACAAAAACAGCTTCTGACACTGACCTGCCACTCTCCTGGTTTCTACCTCTGTCTTCCCTGCTTTGCATTAGAATCAGTCTCAGTGGTTAACAGTGGCACCCGAAAGACAATTTCTCCAAGATAACTGCATAGGCTCAAAGGGCAAAACATCTGTCTTCTTGGCAGAATCACCAGGCTCCTGGACAAATAATTTGGAGAGTTTTACTGTCCAATGGACATACTGCTGGAGTGGGTGTTCTTAGGGTTGTCTTCAGTGTTGTCACTTGGATACACCTTTTCCTTGAGTAGAAAATTAAGACATTCTGTTACAGGAAAGCATTCTGTTTGCCAATTGAATTTCAGTTATTACACTTAGGCATACTAATGAAGGGCTTTTTGTTTCTGGTCATCAAGTCATGCCATCTTATGACCCAAATGCTCTCCATTTCATTCTTCTGGCCAGTTACAATATCCACACAACTTGGAATTGATGAAACTATTGCTTTCTTAAACACATGTGTGCTTTTGTAAATGCCTTTAACGGAGTCACTACTCATAGCAAGTATGTTATAGAGGGGACAAACATATGATATGTAGCACCTGAGAAAGGAGTACCATAAGGAAAAACAATGGAAAAGGAGGGGAAACAGAGAACAGGCAGAAATGGGGACACATTTATTAGCAAAGAATTGCAAGAGGCAGAAGAATGGTTAAGCAAGCTAAGAACGCAGGGAGGACAGAAAAATAAAAATGATCTTCATTGTCTGATTGTCACAATGTTGATGAGCACTAAAATACTGCCAGGTGCTGGTTTAGACTAACTTGACATCAAGCTTGCAAAAAAGAACACTATTTTCACAGTCCATGAAATGTAATTAATATGTAAGTGCAAGGTCACAGAGAAGGATGAGAGAGGTAAAAAATCTGAAAGGTTTTCTGACTCTAACTTGTACATCCTTAGAAACAGTAGATTAAATGACGGTTCTGAAACAGGAGAATTTAAAAGAAAAAGCACACTTGTCTCATACATTTGTGCTTCTATAAAAAGATTTTCACAGGAAATTTGTACTTGCAATGTATATTTCAGTGCTTTTAAATTTTGTTTTGGCAAATAAAGTAAAAGGAAGATTCTATTTATGTTTAATTAAGGTTAGCGCTTGATATAAGCCTTTTGAAAAAGTCAAATGTCTCCATGTAAATACAATCAAGTTTCCTTCAGCAAGTGTCCATGTGTGATAAATAAAAAGTTTTAACTTACTAATATTCACAGGTAACACAGAGAAGAAAAAAAGAGAGATTCATAAAGAGACTTTAAGAATAAATGTTTGGCTGGACGCAGTGGCTCACGCCTGTAATCCCAGCACTTTGGGAGGCTGAAGCCAGTGGATCACCTTGAGGTTGGGAGTTCAAGACCAGCCTGATGAACATGGAGAAACCCTTTCTCTACTAAAAATACAAAATTAGCCAGGCATGGTGGTGCATGCCTGTAATCCCTGCTCCTCAGGGGGCAGAGGCAGAATCACTTGAACCGGGGAGGTTGCAGTGAGCCAAGATGGTGCCATTGCACTCCAGCCTGGGCAACAAGAGCAAAACTCCATCTCAGAGAAAAAAAAAATGTTTAAGTTAGTGGCTGATCACTAGTTTGTGCAGTCTATAAATTTTTGGAATGGTTTAACAGATACATATCTTGATTTGTGGCTTAATTGCAGGTTCTCTTTCTGGAAATCTTTTGCTCGACAGAATCCCAACACAGCACAAGTTTCTGGAGAGTTTAACAATCACCTTCTGCCAGCGTGTCAATCTATAAGGGTTTAGTGCTTGGATGTCAGAGTGAGTGTCGATGATACTCGGAAGATCTGGGGAAGCATGTTACTAAGTTGATAAAACATTTCTTCAGAAATACTCTGTAAGAGGAAAAAATAATAATTGCACTTGTTACATCATCATTGATTTTTAAAATAATTTTAGAAGTATTTTAAAATATGGACTTAGTTCTACATATGGAGTGCAATATGTGAAAATTATCTTTCATGACTGATTTAATTGCATGGCTATGGACAAGGGCGGTTTTTCTGGCTCCATCTGTGGAGAACTTATGTTGTTTCTGTCAAATATTAAGTTTGATGAGTAGAAAAACCTCTAGATAATACTAGTGTAAATCAGTAATAAAATACCACTCATTTTGCCAAGTTCTTCACAAAATACAAAATCATTCTCTGCTAATGGCCTTATTGATGAACGCTTTGTAATCTGTATAATACAAATGTGGAGAAAAACAAAGGAATGATGAGTCAGGTTTTGTCTGGGTGTTAAATAACAAATCCTTTGAGTGGTAGATGCTGATACTTTTGACAATGGACTAAGGGCCTTTATAACATCCAAATACTTCTCCCCTTAAAAAACAGAAAGTGATTAGCATTTTATGTTGTATTTAGGATTTTAGGGCAGGATGCCTAGTTGTATCTGTGAGAAATCTAATAAAAGAGATTAAATTGGGGTGAGATCTACACAGATAACATACCTGTGGTACTAGAAATTGCACTGTCCTAGAAATTCCTCCATCCCATGAAGCCATTTCCATCATAAAACCTAAAATAGAAAAATAAATGTTGCTGTATTACAAGCTCTGGCCTTCAAAACTTTCAGTCATTTACTGAAATAAACTGAATTTTCATTGTAAGGCTTCATGTCTTGACTTTTTAGGTAGCCATTTGCCTGTAGGATACGCTATGCCTAAAGGACAGATAAATGTCTGCAATCCCTAATTCTTCATGCCAGAGAGGTGTAACAGAGTTCTGTCAACACACTCTTATTTACGATTTCTCAAATCAAATTTAGTCTCCATACAATGAAGCTAAGACAGGTTATTAAAAGTTTAATAAATATGTGGCTCTATTTTTTTTTCTAAGAGAATAAAGGAAACAGAGCAAGCTAGCAGCAGAACAAAATATAGTGTCCAAATATCCTTGTATTTCAAAGGGGCTGGAGACTTATTTTGTGACTAGAAAAAATAAAAAATAAAAAGGCCTATTATGAAATATTTGCTTGCTAAACTATCTAACTGAGGCACTAGATGGAAGGGGTATCTTTCATATTCTTTCTTCTGGGTCACTCTACTTTCAATATTTGGGAGGAAATATAGGTGGTGGTTGTCAGAGATAAGATTATGCTCACCTTTGACACACTTGAACACAAGTTCCGCTCTCCTTAAGCACCAGGGGATAGTCATTTCCTAAAAACAGAAATAAAACAAAAGATATGTTTTTAACAGAACTTTGTATACAAAATAAAGTCAGATCTTTATTTATCTATAATGTTGACCATCCACGTTGTTGTGAATGGATTTAGGCAACTATTTGCTAATCCCAACTGGATTTCCTCTAGTTTTTAGGCATGCAACTTCTTCCAGCTCTTAGACTATACTTGTGGAATACAAATTAATTTAATAAGCCCTATAATTAAAAAATAAACATATCCTTATTTTTTCTGGATAATTCTAAAGGCAAATATAAATGACATAGGAACTCTACTACTTGAAACGTTAGCATGAATGATTGTATTACGATGTATATTTGCATAAGCAATAAAATATTTTTACTGTATAGTATGTTATTACAAATGAATGGAAATAAACAAATGCCCCATCTAAGCCACCTAACAAACGCATTCATTTTTCTACGTTTCTTTCTAATCTTCATTCACCAAAACATTTATAATTTTCCGTAGTATTGGAGCGTATGCCATTTTTAAATCTATTCCTCTTCACAAACATCAGGATTGTTTTCCCCTAAGTCTTCATAATTATAACTATAAAACATGTAGATTATTTCATTATTGTGATTCTCAAACTTTGTGGGTCTCAGGATCTTCTGTACTCTTAAATGTTAGCCTGGTGCAATGGTGCACATTTGTAGTCCCAGCTACTTGGGAGGTTAAAGAAGGAGGATTCCTTCTTTATGTAGATTCTTTATGTAGATCATATCTTTTGATAATTATTGCATTAGGAATTAAAACTAAGAAAACATTAATTTCATTTAAAAACAGTGATAAACCCATTCATGTTAACCTAAATAACATTTTTATGAAAAATAACTATTTTCCAAAACAAAAAAGTTTTAGTATGATAATGTTTCAAATTTCTACAAATCTCATTAAAGCCTAGCCTAACAGAAGACATCTGGATTCTTACAGCTGTCTCTGCATTCAATCTGTTACATTACCACACAGCATGTAGCTTCTGAAAAACTCACTGGACACTTGTGCAAGATTAAGAATGGAAAAGCCGAATGATGTCTTCCTTACCAACTACTCAGTCTTTCATCTTTTCTAAGAAGGCTTCCACCCCTATCGCTCAACTGAAAATTCTTTATGTGAGATCATCAATGATTATTAATTACCAAACCTTTTCTCAGTCTTATTCTAATTGACCTTCCAGTTGTAATTCTTATACTTAGTGACCACGCCCTTTCTTCATGACATTTTCTCACCCTCTCCCCTGGGGCTGATGTATCATCAAATTATTTCAGTTCTTCACCTATCTCTGAAGGTTGTTGTGACCTCATGGCTAGTTACTGCTATGCTTCCTATCTAGTGTCCTGAATTCTAGTATTTCCCCTCTAACCCACTACTTTTGGCTATTTTAAGTACATTTCTGATTATATTATACTCCTGTTTTAAGAACTTAAAATTGCTTCCTACTGTCTCACACATAATATGTAAGCCTTTCTTTTACTATTTAAGGCGACATACTTTAAAGCCAAAGCTAGTTTAAGTTTCTGTGACTTTTAAATTTTTAAAAATGAAGGTTTCATTCAAGTATATCTGCTCACATTTGCCTAAACATGGTCTGCCATGCCTGTCACCCACCTCCCTCCATTTTTCCTCAATCTGTTTCTTCTACCTACAATGCCCTTCTCAGTAATTCCATCTATTGAACGTGATCTTCATTCTTCAATGTCCAGACAGTATCACCTATTACAGCATTTCCTATTTTCCCAGCTACAAATACGTCTCCATTTTCTGAACTCCCAAGGTACTTTACTGTTCTCTTATCTCAATGCTCACATTTTTATCCTGTCGTTTTTGGGGAGGAGGGCAGAGGAATGGGCAGAAGGATGGGATTTATTCTTTCTCTTCTTTATTAAGTTACGTGCTCTCTGAAGGTAAAAGCCACTTTTTATTCACCCTTATTACCTTTATAATGCCTTCTATAATACTGAGCACATACATGCTTGAAAACATAGGTTGAATGAATTAGCTTTTATCCATGGACATTTAAAGAGTGTGACTTTCTTTGTAGCCAGAAATAGGGTTTAATAGAAAACTACTTTTAAATTTGTGTCCGGTCTAGTTTTTTAGTTGGCTAAAAAGGAAGGAGTTTTCTTGGATTAGGTCCTGAAAGCTTCTAAAAATTCACTAGAATTTTCTGATATTCAACTTTATGTTTATAACACTCTGGTTTCAAAGTTCACAGAAAGAAGAGGATTTCCGTGTAACTGCAAAGGCTACTGCAAAAGAGCTACAGTGGTCTTATGGAGTACACACATGCATGGAGGGACAAGCGTTCCGTTTTTTGTCTTACTTCCTCCTAGTTAAAAGATGATGTATAGAGAGAACAAGGTGACTAAGAAATGTCTACAGCTTTGGGTACTTAGAAAAGGCAAACTGTAAGCTTTAGAAGTCAATAAAGTCATGAGAAGAACGACTTATTGAATGTCATGAATTGTGGTCAGCAGTTTCACAAGGAGCTTACTTCTGGAAACAAATCTTAGTATATATGATATGGTAGATGATATAGACAACACTATGTTGTCTCTACATAGACAGGGTAACAGTATAGAAAGTTTTTGATCATGAATTCTAAATAATGGAAAAGTGACTACATCTTAGTGACATGCCTGTGAGAGTGCACAGTTAGAGAAATCCAGTGAAGCTGAAAGGATGATGTGAAACACTACAGACTTTATAACAAGCAAAAAATTGGGCCCTGGTCCAGGTATAGTGGCTCACGCCTGTAATCGCAGCACTTTGGGAAGCCAAGGCGGGTAGATCACGGGGTCAGGAGTTCGAGATCAGCCTGGCCAACATGGTGAAACCCCATCTCCACTGAAAACACAAAAATTAGCTGAACATGGTGGCAGGCACCTATAATCCCAGCTGCTCGGGAGGCTGAGGCAGGACAATTGCTTGAACCCGGGAGGCAGAAATGGCAGTGAGCTGAGATCGTGTCACTGCACTCCAGCCTAGGTGACAGAGCAAGACTCTGTCTCAAGAAAAAAAAAAAAAATTGGACCCTACTGTCACACTTTAGCTGATAAATGTACAGAAGAGATTCTAAACCTATGAAAATGAAATTAAAATATCAGTTCTGACTATAATTGAGATAATATCTTCTATCTAAAGCTGACTGTTACTCAACATGAATCCTCTCATGAGGGTAAGGTTGAACTGAAGTTACTCAGTATGTACTTTTAAGTCTTCACTGTTTGTCTTGGAATTTAGACATAAGAATTATTATCTGAGTTTATGTAGCAATGGGTAATATTCCAAGATTATTCTTTACCTCTCAAGTATGTGCCTCTGAGGTACCTGAAACACTGTGTTAATAAGTTTCACAGCCATTATCAGAAGAGGAGAAATAGTTTGGCTTTATTTCTTATTTTTCACATTCAGTATAACAGCACAGGTACAACCACTTTGAAAACCTATTTGGCATATCTACCAAAGCTAAACATAAATATACCCTGAGACCTAAACATTCTATCCCTAAGTATATTCTCAAAAGAAATGTCAAAAGGTGTCTACTGGAATGTTCATAGCAATACTACTCCTAATGATAAAAATCTGGAAAAATTACCCAAATGTCCATAAATAGAATGTATAAATAACTAGTCACATGATGAAATAATATATTAACAATAACAATGAATAATCTATAACCATGCACAATATTATGGATAGAGCTCACAACATACTATTGAAGGAAAGAAGCCAGATATAAGATTAACAGCAAAAGCAAGCCCAACTCATCCATAATTTTTGAGATGAAAACAGTGGTTACCCTTGAGGAGGGAGTGTGGTTTAACTGAAAGGGGGTGGCTGCTGGGGGGCTGGTCACGTTCTGCTCCATGATCTGCATATTTGTTATATGGGTGTTCAGTCTATGAGGATTTGCTGTATACCTATGCGTACTTTTCTATACGTATGTTATCCTCCAATACACAAGTTAAAAACAAACATCTATATGTGTGCTATACTCCAATATAAAAGTGAAAAACAACAAAATCTTCATTAGTAACAGCAGTTACAAAACTAAATGATTTGATAAGCCCAAATTATTCAACAAGTTAACAGAAACAATAAAAGGAAGTTGACAATTCAGTATTCTTGGCTTGTGGCTTCATTCCACAAGACGGACTCCAATAAGACAGTATCTTCAGAACACAAAGATCTATTGAAATAAAACTGATATGTCTTTCTTCTTGCTGATAGGTTATTTTTCCTTTGTTCTTTTTAAACTGCAATTAATTTCTATAGCCCTTTTATCTATCACAGGACACGGGCTGTTTCAGTCATCTTCATTACCATCTCGCACACTCTAAATCCTGGTTAACTGAGTATCTAACGATTCTGTTAGAAGAGGAAAACGACACCTGAAGTGCTTTGGGATCCTTGCCCCAAAGCTAAAACCAATATTTACCTCTATATCCTGTGTAGTGTTATCTGAGTTTAGAAACTTCTTGACCTGAATGGATGTTTAAATACAACAAATGGGAGAATCATAGCTCAATATACTTTTGTGAATTAAACTGGACACTTGGGAAACAAACTTAATGTTCTGCAGCTGGCCTTCCCAATTTAAAACATGTAACTTTTGTAACATTGTGGGAGAAGGAACGCTAGTAGTATCAGATGTCTGGAAGTAAATCTGAACTTAGTGACTTTTGGAAACACTGTTTTTGAGGTCGTTTCCCACCTACATATAACCATTTTTATAAAGTGGTTAACCAGGAGTCCAGCTGCAGGAATGTTTGGATGAATTCCTTGTGGTGGGAATTCATCATAAACTTTCTTACTCCCCAAAGACCCTTTTATAGATAGACTAGTTAGTGATGATGATTTAACAATAGCTAAAAATTCCTGATGGAACTAAAACTTTATAAAGCTATAGTGGGGGAAAAATGTTTGTCCGTCTCTCTTGATACCATGTTAGGATGACAGGCTACAGAAGTGAATGGAATGAAAAATTAGAAAGTCTGATGAAGCTTTCATAGGATAGTGCTGGAATTCTCCTCATCAAAACAACCAAGTACTTAGTAAAAATATACCAGCATAGATTATAAATGGGAAATCATTTAAAATCACCCTGTCTCGGAAGGACAGGAATTTTTTTGTGTGTTTATAAAGCAGCAGTCCCCGACCTTTTTGACACCAGGAACCAGATTTGTGGAGGACAATTTTTCCACAGACTGGGGGTGGGGGTGAGGGTGGGGATAGTAGGGATGGTTTCAAGATGATACTGTTCCACCTCAGATCACCAGGCATTACATTCTCATAAGGAGCACACACCCTAGATCCCTTGCATGCATAGTTCACTACAGGGTTTGCGCTCCTATGAGAATCCAGTGTGGCTGCTGATGTGTCAGGAGGCAGAGCTCAGGTGGTAATGCTCGTCCTTCGACCCTCGCCTCCTGCTATGGGGCAGGTCCTTGGCCTAGCGGTTTGGGACCCCTGTTACACAGGATATGAAATTGAAAATGAGGCCTCCTGCAATACAATGAGTCGAAGTGGGGACTTAGTCTAAAAAGTAAAACATAAACTCTTTTACACTGTCCTTTACAATACAGCATTTTTCTTTTGGTAAATAACTGTTTATAATAAATAATCAAACTTCGTTCCCGACATGCACAATCTCCATTTCCCAGTCAGCAATTTTTTAAAGAGATACAGTTTTACTGTGTTGCTCAGGCTGGTCTTGAACTCTGGGCTAAAACAATCTTCCTGCCTCAGTCCTTGGAATAGCTGGGACTACAGGTGTCAATTTTGCTTTTTAAAAAAATGCCTCCTCAAAATAAGCAGGCACAGAGTTGCTATGAGTCCTTCATCACCAAGTTAAGCACTGGCTCTCCTAGGACCTGTCTGGACCCGTTTGGTTTGAGACACATTTGTTTCTCTAGACTATGTGAAACTGAATTCTATTCTTTATATTATTTCTACAATGTGTGCCTTCTAACCAGTTTCTATGTGGGTGAAGGAAGAAGAAAACCAGTCATGGAAAGAGACTGTTAAAAATTAAATTATAGTACATAACAAAATGGATGAATGATTATGCTATATCTTAATTGCAGAACTGTATTATGTAAAAAGAACCCTTGAGAAAATGTTAAACCAAGGATGGCTTCTTCCTGTCATCTAGCATATCTTTCCATTACCTGTTAATACATACTTAGAAAATGCAAACTAATTTTCATGGCAGCCTAAGCCAAATACATACATGTATGTAAATCTAATGCTATTTATAGCAAAAAAGAAGAAGGGGGGGAAGAGGAGAGGGAAGACAGGGAAGAGGAGGAGAAAGAGGTGTAGGGACACATGCCTATCCAAAGATAAATATTATTTTGATTTTCTAGTTTACTTACTACAGGACAATGCTATAGCTCTCTGAACATAAATGGTTAAGGATTACTCACTGTTTTGTATTATAGTTTACTCAATTCTATTAACCAGATAGGGGATGCAAAAATTCATTAATTTTAAAAAAGTGCCTTTAAAATAGATTATTATATAATACTGAGGGTTAACATATTCATAAAATTATAGGATTTTTCTATTTGCTTACCTCTGACATATCATGTACCAGCAGTAGAGGAATGCTTATTGTTGTGATGTCATGGGTACAGCAAACTTTGAGTATATTTCGGAGTCCCATAATGGCAGGATCACGAGCAGTGATGTTTCCCGATTTCACATGGTCATCCACACAAAGATGGAAAGCAACATGGATTTCTGAGAGATTAGAATGCCGTGTAATATAAAATTCTCCTGTAAACAATAAATACAATCATGATTATTAAATGCCTAAGTCACATTCATCAATGGGCTTTATAAATAACTGTGATGGGCGATCAATGTGTTGAACTACTGGGGTGTATCACGAACATTTACCGGGCTCAGGAAGCAATTGCAATTACTGCTCCTTAATTTCTTGAAGAGAAGCTAATGAAAATAAGAGACAATAGTCAATTTTGCAATAGGTTCATAAATTGGTATGAAGTGACCACCAAGTAGTAAATAAATCAAATGAGTACTCATCTTTATTTTGATGTAAATGCCTAAAATGTCGTTTTTTATTTATATATTCTTCGACTCTCGCTCTGTTGCCAGGCTGGAGTGCAGTGGTGTGATCTCATCTCACTGCAACCTTCAACTCCCTGGTTCAAGTGATTCTCCTGCCTCAGCCTCCCAAGTAGCTGGGATTATAGGTGTCTGCCACCACCATGCCCAGCCAATTTTTGCATTTTTACTAGCGGTGGGGTTTCACCATGTTGGCCAGGATGGTCTCCCATCTCCTGACCTCGTAATTCACCCTGCTCAGCCTCCCAAAGTGCTGGGATTACAGATGTGAACCACCATGCCTGGCCTGAAATGTCAAATTTAACATGTAAAAAAGGTTACTTGTTTTTTCCATGCCCTAAATCTGCTCTTCTTCCTCTCAACTTATGAGACCAATCTGTCCAGTTAGTTGCTTAGGACAGAAAGATAGGTGTCCTTAATTCCTGAACTCCATGCCTATCACCCCATCCACAATCTAATCTACCACCAACTATTTTCAGTTCTATCTACAGAATAGCCCAAATCTGAGTATTCCACTTTTATTGGTGTTACCCCAGTTCACACTACTGTAATTTTTCACCTAGGTTTTTGTAATATTCACTTAACTGATCTCCTTACTCCCTGCTTGCCCACCTACAAACCAACCAAGTCTGCAGCTACTACTTAAATATCAATCATATTATATCCCTCCCCTACTTAAAATCATCCAACAGGCTCATCCTGTAGTATTCAGAACAAAATCCAAACTCTGTATCATGGTTTAGAACAAGGGTCCCCCATGGACTGGTACCCGGCCATCACCTGTTAGGAATCAGGCTGCATAGCAGGAGGTGAGCAGCCAGCAAGTGAGTGAAGCTTCATCTGTATTTACAGCCGCTCCTCACCGCTTGCATTACCACCTGAGTTCCACCACCTTTCAGATCACTGGCAGCATCTGATTCTCACAGGAGCATGAACCCTATTGTGAACTGCGCATGTTAGGGATTTAGGTTGCACACTCCTTATGAGACACTAATGCCTGATGATCTGTCACTATCTCCCATCAACCCCAGATGGGACCATCCAGTTGCAGAAAAACAAGCGCAGGGCTCCCACTAATTTGATATTATGATGACTTGTGTAATTATATCATTATACCTTATAATGTAATAATAACAGAAATAAAGTACACAATAAATTTAATGTACCTGGATTATCCTCAAAGCTTCCCAACCCATGGTCTGTGGTAAAACTGTCTTCCAAGAAACTGGTCCCTTGGTGCTGGTGCCAAAAAGTTTGGGGATCACTGGTCTAGAAGGCCTAGATGACTTGAACCCTGCCTCTCTCTCCAATATGTTCTTGTCTCATTCTCTTTCCTCACTACAGTTACATAGGCTTTTGTTCAGTTCTTCAAGCATGCAGAGCTTGTTCCCAATTCAGGGCTGCTGCCTGGAGGGCTTTTCTCCAAGATTCTCACATGGCTGACTTCCCTTCATTAATCACATCTCAGATCAAAAGTCACCTCCTCAGAAAGGCCTTCCTTGACTTCCTATCTACTAATGGTCTCCTCCATCCTTTACTCTTTCACCTTATTGAGTTTTATTTTCTTCTTAGCACTGAAATTCTTTTGTGCACATATTATTTTAAAGAGCCCACTACACAGTGCCATGATGACAGGGATTTTTTCTATCTTGTTTAATGTTCTATCTCTAGCAAGTGGAACAGCACCTGGCACGTAGAAGGTACTAAATAAATATCCGTTGAATGAATGAGCATTTTAGGCTGAATGCTGGAGCAGTCTATCTCAAACATTAAAGTAAAATCCACGCTTCCTACCATCACTTTGTTTTTACGTGGCCCCACAAACCAAGAAAAATCTCATCAGCTTTTATTTTCTGTAGTTCCTATCAATATAGAGAAACAAAACAGAAAATATAGAAAGGATATGTTCTTACCAATACATATACCTCACTGGAAATTCTAATAGGCCTTCTGGGAAAGAAAGGTCTGCGTATCTCTACTCTCCCACTCTTAACCTTTGCCCTCCCAAATTCTGCTCCCCCTTGTGTCAACATCATTATCATTATCTTAGGATCTAATTATAAACATACAGTATACTTAAAATACTTAATATACTTTAGCCCTATGGTTAACTTTTCTAGTTACCAGTGTGTATCAGCTGTATCCACAGATGCCTCTGACAGGTCCCAGGCAAAGATCTTTTTATTTTTTATTTTAACTTGAACAAGATAAAGGAATTAGATAAACAGAGAAGGAAATTAAAGGAGAGCAACAGATATATCACAATAAACTGGCCAAAGTGAAAGTAAGAAAGAAAACTGGTGAGGAATAGTTTAGTTATAATTTTCCAGGAAGGCAGCAAAAGACACAGACTGCTTATCAGAAACTCAGTGGACTATATGAGACAATATCCGTCTGGGCCCAGTGAAGTATATTACCTTCTAAACTGCTACTGATAATTCAGATGATAGAAGTCATAGCTTTAGATATGGGCCATGATCCAGGAGTATGGCAGAATGACTTAGTGAACAAGTCAGGTGCTCCTAATCCCCAAATTGGCACTGCTTTCTTTGACCTTAAATGACTTGTTTCTTGGCCTAATTTTACCCATTAATAAAATGGGGGCCATGGGGCTGGCAGTAGTAATCAAATTAATATGATATAGTAGAAAAAGGACTAGATTGGATGTTAAGAAGATCTGATTTCTAGCACTTATTGACTGAGTGATCTTGGGCAAATCAATTCAACTTATTGATCCTCTGTTACTTAGTGTATGAGATGGGAAAAATAATGCTGACTGCTTTCCTTACAAGGTTATTATGAGAATTAGATTACATAAACTGTAAATACTTAGATCATGGTTAAGTCAACTATGACTGGCTTACAAATATACAAATAAAACTATTTTTCTTTGCAATTTAAAAGTTAAAATAATTTTTGATTTAGATTTTTTTCATCTCCTGTAAACGTCCTGGTTGTGTAGGTATACTTTAATTAAATGGAAATTAAGATGCTATTATGTCTAACTGAATACTTTATATTACTTTTCTAACTCAGGCTTATGATATATCCTTCTGATTGGTACTAATACAGAAATAAAGTATACAAATAAGACAGTCCGTGTTATGTTCTGTGATACAAACACTTAAGGGTCATCAGAGTGAATTCAATCAGAAAGAGGATTGAGAGACTCAATAAATACTAGGGAAGGAAATACAAACAGCAACAAAGAGTTATGTTTAAAAATCAAACAGACATTGGTTCTTCCAGAGTAGTAATAAGACTCTCACATTTTAAGAAAGGCACAAAATATGGATGGTTTAAATTATGGATCTATGAAGAAAAATACAATAAATACTTAATTGAAGGTATTTTTAGATGAAGAGGAAGATGGTTTCCTGTTCCACACAGTGGAGGAAAAACACGTGGTGATTCTAACATTACCCACTAAGGTGGAATAACTGAAGGTGGGAGGAAATTTCAAGGCTGATGACTACAGGCTAATGGACAGGGTCTGACAAGATGAATACCAGAAATGAGTATAGGATTTGCTTAGATTAAATGTAATGCGTTGAGTGACAGTGGAGATACACACACACACACACACACACACACACACACACACACACACGTGTGTGTGTGTATCTCCACTGTCAAATGTGACCTATATGTCAAAGATCTGGGGAAGAAAATGTGAGAAAATTACCTTAAAGGAGAATAAAAAATCAGGAGATGGCTATTTCTGAAACTGCACAATTTATCACTTAGTTAAAAAATTTTATAATACATACAAATAGTCTTTTTGTTATGCTCTGTGATACAAACACTAAGGGCCATCAGAGTGAATTCAATCAGAAAGAAGACTGAGAAACTGAATTTCCAGTTGTTAAACAATATATCTAGAATAATAAAGGAAATAAAATGGAAAGCAGAAAAATGTAAGGGGAAATGAAAATAAAATTCTAAATGAGATGTCCCACTTTATATTTAAATTCAACTGTTTATATCTCTATGTACTATTGTTCATATTTTACTTGATCTTAGCTACATGGCTGAGAAGTATGTAGTTTATATTTCAGAGTAAAACTTTTTTTGGTTTATTTCTTAAGAAACTAAGAAATAATGTATAAGAAAATTTACAATAGCAAATAATAAAACATAGGTAACTTCTTGAGTAATTTTTCTTTTATAGATCTAGAAAAAAAGTCAGTACTAGTATAATATTAATAATTAAGTTTTAGGCCAGGCCCAGTGGTTCATGCCTGTAATCCCAGCACTTTGGGAAGCTGAGGCAGGAGGATCACTTGATGTCAGGAGTTCAAGACCACCCTAGCCAACATGGTGAAACACCGTCTCTACTAAAAATACAAAAAAATTAACTGGTTATGGTGGCACAGGCCTGTAGTCCCAGCTACTCAGGAGGCTGAGGCAGGAGAATTGCTTGAACGTGGGTGGCAGAGGTTGCAGTGAGCTGAGATTGCGCCAGTGTGCTCCAGCCTGGGTGACAGAGCAAGACTGTCTCAAAAAAACAAACAAACAAAAAAATTAAGTTTTATACTGGAGAACATCTGTGAAAGTGTATTATAGATGTACAAAGTGTTGTTTTAAAGTGATTTAATGACATATGCTAAAATTAAAGATTTAAAACATAAATTCCTATGGTGTGCATTATAAAATTTTTGGTGTAAGAAAATAATTGGAAATAAAAAAAAATACTTACCAGGTAAAACATTTAAATAGTTTCTCTCAGCATTCTTAGTCTTATCATCACTTCCTCCATTCTGGTTTCCAGAATCTATTCACAAGACAGCACGAAAGAACATAACAACATACGAGAACATGTTACTATGACTGCTCCCAAAGGAATCACAGCAACAGCAAAAATTCTCTGAGGGCATCTATATGCCAAGCATTCTGCTACATGCTTTACATGGATGATCTCATTTAATTCTTACAAAACCTCTATAGCCACAGCCTTGGGAGGTAAGTCCTACTACTATGTCCATTTTATGTATGAGGAGACAGAGGCTTGGCTAGGCTAACTAACTTAACCAAGCATGCACAGGTAAGTGGTGGAGCCCGGTCTCGAATTCACATACTCAGATTCTCTTATGGTATTAACCACATTAGACATGCCAGTATCCTATTTTTCATCTGGGAGGTTCAGGGAACCAAGTTAATCACACATAAAATACCTTCATTAGGTAGTTGTGGTGTGGCCATCTTTATTTTTAGATTCTGAGTCACTGTGGTTGATACAACTTGTTCAGGACTACAGATAAATGGCTAGTGGTATCAGGAATCACTGTATATTTAGCCCATTCCTGAAATTTATTTCCTACCTGACACTATGCACAATTATAACAGATAGGTGAAACTGTCTCACATGGAACTTTTTTTCAGCTATTTGACAATTTCTCTTCTTTTTTGAAGGCATGCTATTTCTTAGAAGAATAAATGTTGGTAAAATGAGAAACATTATGTTGAACATACATTATAAAGATTGAATGCAAATTATTTTATATATTTTAATAAAAGAGACATTTGAACTTTATAAGAATTGCATCAGAACTCACAAATGCAAACTGAATATTAGCCTTCAAAGTAGCTATCTTTATGAGGTTGCATATTTATTCCAATTAAAAACTATTTTGGAATCTATTTCAGAACAGCCTTCAGCATCAGAAAATCACGTGACAACAGACCTTCAAATGAATAAACTGCAAATATCAAAATATTATAGTTTTAACAGAGATTTGAATAAAAGTAACAATATTTTAATCTGGTGACTACTTTGATAAATTGATTTATAACATTGTACCTTGTAAATGCATGTATGTTATAAATCAAGAGTCAGAGAGATAGGCACAGAGAGATAGAGGGCTATGTGTTGCTGGAATCTATATTTAACGAAATATTATTTCTAATACAGAGCCATGTGGTTGATAGGCTTTGAATAAATATCTCATCATAGCACAGGTTACAAGAAACAATAAAGGACTCTAATGTTGTTCACATGGAGTATGAACAAATGGAAGCTACGTTAAGTAAACAAGAGAGAACAGTTCACAGTCCATTTCCCTTTCATGTTTTCATGGCAATACCTTGTTTAGTAACAGTAACAAGACGGCTAGTTTTATTTTTTAAAAAGTATATAAAATGTGCATAAAAACAATTTTTGACTTTTTATCATGGACCACAGAAATATAAAGATGTTATAACAACCGAAATAAGAAAAGTAATGCAACGTCTTAGAATAAACAAGTCCTTGCAAATCAGGATGTAAACTTGCAGAATATGTAGGTGTGCACAGAAAAAGATGGAGAAGGCATTTTCACAAAGTTCTTCTATAACAACATGCAGCTTTCTTTAAGAAAGTCTTTTATAAACCTACTTGCATCACTGACTCACTGAAACCACAAAGTAGTTGCTTGAACAAGAACAAAATAAAACCATGATATACACGCAATGCTTTAGCCGTATGCGGTTTAACAACTTCCCGTCATTTACTGCACACTTTCTATCTCTCATAAATATACTTAGCATCCTCCTCCTCCTTCCACACCTGTCATAATCTCAATCTTCATGCTTTTACTCACTACTAAGAATAATGTTAAAATGTTTCTGATCACATCACTGCTAGTTTCAATGAGAAAGGAGGCTGGTAGAAGAATAAGAGGGTATACTGAGATTTTCTGAAAGGTTATGTTAGGATATACTCTATAGTGATTTTCTAATACTTAGCTGGCTCTGTGATATGTAACACATATTGCCATAGCGAAGCTGTAACTACCTTTAGTGGGAATATAAACTGGCAGAAATACTATACAGAGTAATTGCCAAGGCTATGAAAAGTATAAATGTATGTGTCCTTTAACCCAGGAATTCATCTTTAGGAATCTCTTCTGTAGATATGCTTACTGCTCACACACATGCACAATTATTCATATGCAAAGTTATTTGTCATTACTAGACATTACTGCTTATAATAACAAAAATAAGGAATAGATCAAATGTCTATTAGTAGGGGACTGATTAATAACAGGATATCCTGCAATGGACTACTATGCAACAGCATACAAGTATGAGGATGGTCTTTATGGACTGATACAAAATGAGCTCCAAGATAAACTACTCAGTGAAAAAGGCAGAGTACAGAATAGTGTATGCAGAAAGCTGCCATTTGTGTGAAAAAGGAAAATAAATACACACATACACTTGCTTATACATACATAAACATCTGTCTAGAAGGTACATGCGATAGCACTGGCTGCCTCTGAAGAGGGAAGCTGGATAGCTAGAAACAGAGTTAGGGACACTTTCACTGTATGCTCTTTTGTAGTTTGAATTGTGAATCTTGAGAATGTTTTACCTATTTAAAAAATGGTTAAAAACATATAAACCATTTTTTAAAAGTTTATTGAATAGATAAGGAAACTGTATTGAACCCTAGTCAAGTTATGACTAGATAGCCACATTCTAGCCATAGGAGAAAGGAAGGAATTCTATAATTTCTGGGAGTGAAAAAGATGGGAGAAGGGAACAAACAGACTTCAGAAAGGTCTTCCTTATACCAAGCAAAGATATAATATCTCTCTGCAACTGTACAACACAAAACTTATGCACCTAAAGTACTATAATGGTTTCTTTTAAACACAGCAGGTGCAAACAAAGTAAGGAAAGAAAGAATAAAAGCATTCAAAGTACCAGAAGCAGATTTAAAGGTGCAAACATCCCCAATTTTAAAACTTGCCATGTTTTATTTCCTGGGCACCAACATCAGGTTTTTATAAGAAATAATAAAATACTGGCCAGGTACAGTGGCTCACACCTGTAATCCCAGCACTTTGGGAGACTAAAGCGGGTGGATCACATGAGGCCAGGAGTTCGAAACCAGCCTGGCCAACATGGCAAAACACCATCTCTACTAAATATACAAAAATTAGCTAGGCATGGGGTACACATCTGTAATCCCAGCTACTGAGGAGGCTGGGGCATGAGACTTGCTTGCGCCTGGGAGGCAGAGGTTGTGGTGACTGAGATTGTGCCACTGCACTTCAGCCTGGATGACAGAGTGAGACTCTGTCTCCAAAAAAAAAAAGAGAGAAATAATAAAAGACTCCGTATACATTCAAGCCAGACAAGAGCATGCATTGTAATTTTATGTCTATGATATATGAAGTGTAAGAAAAACACGCCTTAAAAATATTTGAAATGACTATTACCCTAATATTTAGGTCCTAACTAAAGAAACCTATGGTACCAATTTAATTTACAAAGAAACCACTCTTTAAATTTTCATTTTTCAATTAAAAACCAGCTGAATTACTCTGTGATTCCAGCCAGAGATTTTTCCATTACCTGTCTTCCCTTAACCCTCTTCCTATGCAGATAGAAAGCTTCTGAACAAAGATGCCATTAACTCTTTCAATAGCTTTAAAAACCATTTCCAGGATGGACGGCTTTCAAAAAATTAAAAACAAAACTATCTTATGATCCAGCAACTCCACTTTAAGGTATAAATCCAAAGGAAATCAGTATCTTAAAGAGTTATCTTCATTTTGGCATTATTTGCAATAATCAAGATACTAAAAACATACCTAAATGTACACACACACACACAGAATATTATTCAGCCTTAAAAAAGAAAATCCTGCCATTTGCAGCAACGTGGATGGACCTGGAGGATACTAAGCATCCTGGAGGATGCTAAGTGAAATAAGCCAGACACAGAAAAACAAATATTATATCATCTCACTTACACATGGAACCTAAAATAGTTAAACTCACATTGATAGAGAATAGGTGGTTGCCAGGGCTGGGGTGGGGGGAAATGGGGAGATTTTGGTCAAGGGATACAAAGTTTCAGCCACAGATCAATAAGTTCTGGAAATCTAATGTATGACAATGTGATTATACTTAACAATATTCTAGTGTATACTTGAAATTCATTAAGAGGATAGATCTTAAGTGTTCTCACCATGGACATAAAAAAGTGGCAACTATCTGACGTAATAAAATCGTTTGAAGCGATTATTTTACAGCATCTGTGCACATTGAATCATCAAATTGTATATCTCAAATACATACAATCTTTATCAAATACATCTCAATAAATTTAAAAAATTTTTCCTGTAAATTTCCTAAACAGAGAGAATGTTATGTTACGAATAAATACAGAAAAAAGTCATTTAAGGATATAGTGATTTTTTAAAAAAAGAACCAAAAATAATTCATTTAACTGACTTCATGCTACTTAAGCCAGTCAAAGACATAACATACAATGCTCTGGTTTTTCTTCATAACAAATAAATCTTTTGCCTTTTACTAAAGATTTCCATGGAGAAGAACAATTATGAGTTTATAACCGAATTTTTTGAAGTCCTGCTTAGGCAGGGCTAAAAAAAAAAAAAAAGAAAAGATATACAAAAAGTATATATTTTGTGCTACCTTTTACTCTATGTTTTCAGTCCCCTCTGTAGTAATAACTGTGTTCACTTCAAAGATATAGAACTTGGATTAAAAGATCACCAACTTTCCACTGAGTACCTATCTCAAGTATAACTATAGTACTGAAAATTAACAATAGTTTTCACTAAGAACCTTGAAGAAAATCATCCCCCTAAAAAAGAAAATTAGGCTCAGAGTTCAAGCTTCTAAGGATCTAGGTACAGTATATATCCAAAGGAATAGAAATTCTATATAAAGATACATGCACGCACACGTTCATTGCAGCACTATTCACAATAGCAAAGACATGGAATCAAACCAAATACCCATCAATGATAGACTGGATAAAGAAAATGTGGCATATATACACCACGGAATACTATGCAGGTATAAAAAGGAATGAGATCATATCCTTTGCAGGGACATGGATGGAGTCGGAAACTGTTATCCTCAGCAAACTAACGCAGGAACAGAAGACCAAACACCACATGTTCTCACTCATAAATGGGAGCTGAATGATCAGAACACATGAACACATGGTGGTGAACAATACACTGGGGCCTGTCAGAAGAAGGGAAGAGCATCAGGAAGAATAGCTAATAGATGATGGGCTTAATACCTAGGTGATGGGTTGATCTGTGCAGCAAACCACCATGGCATACATTTACCTGTGTAACAAACTTGCACATCTATACATGAACTTAAAACAAAAGTTGAAGGAAAAAAAAATCAAGAAAAACAAAAATACATTTTGATGTTCTTTTTAAATAAAAAAATAACTAAAAAAAATCTTAAATTTTGTTTTTAATTTCCTTTTCCTATCTTCTATAGAATTTTCTATATGATCTTAATGATGATCCATGTGCTATTACATTGATTACAGACAGAATATAATAAAAGTGAGTTTTACCCACCAAGTGATTCTTTCAACTTACTCCTGCGCTGGGTTCTAGCATAAAGGACCACCTGTTGAACAACTTCTAATTGCTCTTCAATTCGGGGAAAATGGAAGTCAGTGCATTCTTGGCAAACTGTGGCAAAATCTAAGGGACCCAAAACATTTACAAACTTCTAAATGTAAATATCAAATATTTAGTATTTACTTATAGACAATGAGATTTAGTAGAAACAGAAAAGAATATAAGTATGATTTCTTATACTTGTCCTTTAAATAATTATGCCTTAAGTTAGGGCATAACAATTTTGTTTTAATTAGAAACTTAACCTCTCAATCACTCAAAAGAGTAAACAATTAAGAGACAAAGAAATGTTAATATAATCCTAGGTCTTCTTTAAGTAATACTTTAAATAATACTTCGATCATAATCTACCCCAAAAGGTGCTACACAATATGAGGTTTTTATATTTATGAAGGGAAATAAATTCTATTTAAGCTTCTTTCAAAAATAGGTATACATTTCATATATTTTATATATTTTACATCTTATATATTTAGAAATTTAGAAATAATCATAAAAAGTGAGTTGTACTAAGAGGGAAGGTAGAATTTTACCTAGCAAATTTAAGAGGTACGTTATTAAAAAAAAAAATAGAGACAAATGGATGAGCTAAAAATCACCAAGCCAGGATTTGCTTCTAAACTGAAAATATGTGATTGCTCTTTTTGTTTTACCTTGTAATGAGATTTCTATAAGAACATTATTTATAATATAATAGTATTTTAAGAAAAATAAATATGAAGAACTCTATCAGTGCTACAGTTTGAAATAAAATAACTATGGCTGGATATGTTTTTTTGGTCTACTTGAAAGGTGATTAAAATTTTTTTTCAGTTTCCCCATAATTCCTTTCTTTGTAAGAATGGTGTTACAGGGTGAAATTTAACAAAATAAATGTGTATGATGGTAACTTACCTCTTTTAATACCACTATATGAATTAATTCGATTATCCACTAGTAAAACCAGGCCACAGAGAGATGTAGAATAAAGCGACAGTGCTGTTTGGAGCCGATGAAGTTTCACACCACTTCGATGATTTCTTTTATGCTTACAGAAGTCCAGCATATCTGCTCTCAGCAATCTCAAATTATGCATGGTCTTCAACTGGGCTCCTGGGGGTGGGCAATAGTCCAGGAAAGATACTTAAACAGCTGCAAGAAGTCCAGTATAAGAGGATGCAAATCTCTATGGCAAGAATCCAGATAAATCTATAGTACAAAATAATTAAAAATGGGCCTTGCAACTTCCCATTTTAATGACTATTTCAATTTAATCTTTCTATCTGCAAAAAAATTATATAAGCTAAAATACAAAACTCAAAGCCAAAAACCTATAGTCTTTCTTAAAGCAAAACATAATCTGGAATTAAAAATAACATAGGTACACTCTACTCATACGCTAGGGATTTTTCTCTTACAGTGTATACAAAAAGTTTCAGTGGCCAGGAATAGTGGCTCATGCCTATAATTCCAGCACTTTGGGAGGTCAAGGTGGGCTGATTACTTGAGCCTAGGAGTTCAAGACCAGCCTGGGCAACATGGTGAAACTTTGTCTCTATTATTTAAAAAAAGACTTCAGAAGTTACAATAAATTATAACTGCAAAAAATTAATACACTTACCTAAGTGAATGGTAAAACTTTCTTCTAACTTTCTCTGTTCCTCATAAATCCTTCCAATTGCTTCTACAGATTCTCTGAACTGACTTGGTTGAACTTTAATTTCCTCACTGAAAGTAGTAAAATTATTGATATACTTTTAAGTTGGTCAAGAATTTTTCTTAAAGGAAAGCTTTATAACAAGAGAAAACTGAACAGCTGAAAGTCTTGCTTAATTTTTTCTTAAACTCATCCTTAATCCATGGTGACATGTAAGACCATAAGTGCCAACAGGCTCAAAAATTCCCACTTGTTCTTTCATTTCCTCACAATAAATAAAGCAGATTATTATTTTCAATCATTATGTCAATTAATATATTGCCATTTAACATTTTTAGCAGCCTAAGAGAATGATTAAATAAAGTGATTATTAGTTTAAAATCACATTATATTTAAAAATATATAATACATCCTATGCTAGGGTTAGCTCTAGGCAAAATTAGAAAATAGATGAATAGGAATAACAATTAACATTAAAGTTAAATAAAATAAATAATAAAAAAGATTAAGTTCATTTTGATGTATACACAACCTTTATTTTTACCATTTCTTGTTTTTTACCTTCAACATTCTCCTCCCACTAAACTGCCTTTCTCTCCTCTCCTCTTTATAGTTCCTAAAAAGCCTTCCACAAAACAGCACTGTTCAAACAGTGGTATGCTGAAGATGATCTAAGTCTGTAAGAGTCATCCGTTTCCTGGGCTAAATTTTTGGGGCTAATCCCAATAGCCCCATTAGACTCAGTGACGGACTTCATTAGTAAATAGGGTAAATTTAAACCTAGCCAGATAATCTACAGCAGGAGACCCCAACCTCTTTCCCCTGCAGGCAGCAGGTGAGTGAGCATTGCCACCTGAGTTCCATCTGCCATCAGATCAGGGATCGGGGGCAGCATTAGATTCTCATAGGAGTGTAAACTGTAATGTGAACTGCGCATGTAAGTGATCTAGGTTATGTGCTTCTTGTACAACAGTTTCATCCCCAAACCCTTCCTGTCTCTCCTGAAAAAAACTGTCTTCCGAGAAACTGGTCCCTAGCGCCAAAATGGTTAAGGACTGCTGATCTACAAAATCACACTCTTCTGGAGTCCATCAAAGATTTGTGATAATAAGGCAATCTAGTAAACTGAATTCCAAACTGTGATATATCCCTCCAAGGACAGACAAGACACATAAAGAGTTTTATCTTTGTTAGAGCATAGCTGAAATAGAATGCTGTCATACAAGGGGATAAAAAGAAAGCAGCTACAATTTTAACAGATTCTTAAAGGCCAAGTGGGCTAGCATATGAAGTTAGAATAGGTCAGAGCCACAGGCACATGAACTTGCAAACTCTTTTCCATTGGCCTCCATCAGGTATTTCCAGAAAAGACTGAGGGCAGAAGACAAGAGAGCCTTCTCATGGGCACAGGCAGCAATGCTGAGAATCAAGATAGTGAGTTGAATGGGCGACTCTGTCTCCCAGGCGTTCCAGGTACCAGTTGAAATGATGCCCAGATTTGTGTGAGTTTTTGTGCGGAGACCCACTGCGTTGGCTGAAACAGCCGTGCTGGAAACTCACGGCACTTTTCCACCCAGGAATCTCCTGGTCTGTGGGCAGTAAAAACTCATTTGGAAATGCAGTGAGCACTCACCCTCTGCATTCTTGCTGGGAACTGCACTCCAGGGCTGTTCCTATTTGGCCATCTTGGATCTGTCCTGCCAGGGATAACTTTTTTTTTTAAGAGACAGTTCTTACTCTTGTTACCCAGGCTGGAATGCAGTGGCATGATCATGAAGAGATAACTTTTACAGCAAAGGGCTTTCACAGCTTCCTTAAATCAGTAGCTTTCAATGTTTCTGACTAAAATATACAGTATATATTTTATATTTTGGCTAAATACAACATGTTCATTTATAGAAAACTTCTTGTATGATGCATTCTGATATTTTTTTTTCCTATTCTATGCTATTGGTATTTTTAAAAGGCTGGTTGAAAAATAAGAGATGTAGAATGGTTCATAGCAGGCTGCAACAAACAGTTTGGGGAAAACAGTGACACAAACAAAAGATTGTAATAGTTAGATAAGAGATGATACAGATGTCAGGTAAAGAGTCAACAATAACCTATCCATCTGTCCATCCATCCATCCCACAAATTTTTACTGAGCATGTATTATGTGCTAGTATCAAGAGGTCAAGGGCCAAACACTTGCCAAGGAGCTGGGTATATGACCCAAAAAAAAAAAAACCAGACATGAGACTGACCTTATATAGATTAAAAAAACCAGACATGAGACTGACCTTATATAGATAAAATGCTATTTTAAAATATTTATAGTATACACTGGCATATGCTAGAAATAAGAGTATTATACTGTACTCAGTATATTTACAATTGAATATACTTACAGATTTGATAAAAATTAATTCTCAAACATACAGATACATGGCCAAGAAATAACATAGGCATGGTCAAGCTCTAAGGGAATATGTGAAATACAATTTATTTAGGTCATGAGATGCCACACAAGTTATGATTTATGAGAAATCCTCCACACTATTTCTGTACCTTCTACATGCTTCTGTTACTGCACATACCACTCTATAAAGTATCATTTTATTTATAGATCACTCTCTTTCTAGAATATAAGCTCCATATAGGCAAGTATCTTTTTTGTTTTTCTGCTTAGAGAGTGTTTGGCATTCCAACAATGTTTACTGCATGCAGTGGAAACTAAAGAAATAAAGATAGTATTTAAGTATTCAGGTGTATGTATCTAGAACGTAAAAGTAAGTTCTATTTCAAACTAATCATAACCATTGCGGCCCAAATAATCCACATAAATCCTATAATGCAAAAAGTGGTTAAAGAAGCATAAAATTATCTTGAACTTTCACTGGCAACTTAAAAATACATATAGGTAAAAGGTTTAACTTTGTAGTAAATATAAACTATTACCAACAGTGGACTATTATATGAATAAGAACAATACATAGCTGATACCTAAGGGAGCTGTTGTTGGGGTTTTTTAGGTCTTGGTGAAGTTTTATTACCCATTCTTGATATTCTTGTTTTTGGATGGCAGTTGATTGTTTTAATTCATTCGACCATTTATTTTCTAGGTCCTAAAAGAAACAGTGTACCATCTGGTTAATTTTTTTTTAACCAAATATATAAATAAAGAAAAGAAAATGCAACTGTATACCTAAAAGTCACCATATTTCACTTACTTGCTGGGATTCAAAATGCTGGGCGGCCAGTGAATTTACATCTTGATCTGTCAGTGACTTTCCCAATTCCTGCATCACTTTTTCCATTTCGATACCTTGTCTAAAACACAAACAAGCAAATGAGGGGAATCCATCAAAGTTTCAAGGTATATGATCCTTCAGATTCATTGAACAATCTCTATAAATTGAAAATAAAAATTTTATTTTATTTATGTCCAGGAATGAGAATTGTAACTGGAAAGTACTTAGAATCCTTGGAAATGGAGTCTAGCAAATAATGATGATAGTGTCATATAACAGCAACATCATTTGTGCAGCTACATTTTAACCTAAATTTACTACATAAATGAAAGCAGTCAAAATCTAAGCTACCTTTCAATTACCATGGCTAATGTTAAAAACGCTGGATCCCTTTTTACCTACAAATTTCCTCAAAGAAGAGGCTCTGCAATTTCAGCTTAAATGGATTTTCTATTTGTATATAAACTAAAGTGACTTCAACCTCTGAAAGTTAGTTTACATTATATCCAGAAGCACACAATTAGATCCTAGGAGTCAAATTATTATTAAGTCATAAAATTTACAGAGGGATGTAAAATACAGTCTAAAGATGTTGGTCACACCTTCTGCATTTAAGAAATAATGTGTAAACATTAAAAATAGTTTTCCCTACAGGAAAAACTAACCAATGGTGTTAGAAGTACAGATAATGGTTATTTAGGAGGGAACGGGTGAAGGACTAGAAGGACATGAAAGAGGCCTCTGTAATGCTGGAAATATTCTATTTCTTGATCTGGGCAATGGTTACATGATTGTGCTTAACTTGTGAAAGATTGCTGAGCTGTAAACCCTAGAATCTGGTTTGCTTAAACAAAAAAGGCACATTTCTTTGTTGCCTTTTCTGTATGTATATTTTAATAAATAAGTTCGTTAAAAAAATTCAAATTAAAGATTATCTTCTAATACAAATGTGTGCAAAAAGTTTGTTCTAAAACAAATTTCTAACAAACTGGGAAAGAACAAAACACAGACATAAACTAAAAGGATATCATCATCCTAGTTAATCCAAGTAAATTGCTCTTAAGGTGAATTTATGGCTGGGCGCAGTGCCTATACTCCTATAATCCTAGCACTTTGGGAGGCCGAGGTGGGCAGATCACCTGAGGTCAGGAGTTCGAGACCAGCCTGGCCAACACAGTGAAACCTGGTCTCTACTAAAAATAAAAAATTAGCTGGGTGCCATGGTGTAATTCCACTACTCGGGAAGCTGAGGTAGAAGAACTGCTTGCACCCAGGAGACGTAGGGTGCAGTGTCACTGCACTCCAGCCTGGGCGACAAAGTGAGACTCCATCTTAAAAAGTAAAAAAAAAAAAAAAA